TACCAGTATTCTGGTTGAAGCTTTAGTATATGTGCAACCATGGTTTGGCACTAGGTCCATAGGTTCAGTTAAAATACAGATGCGTAACTGTTCAGMTCCCCAGCAGAGTGAACAAACACCCGAACGAGATTGCCGAACCTWCGTGCCCCCTGTATCCATTCAGGAGCTGCATAATGTTTCTTTATGTTTCCGCGTAATAGGGAAAGGATATGAGGATTCAGGACAGCAGCTGTAACACTGTAATAAATGTCACTCTAAAGCAGTCCCCACTACCTGAGAGAGTGTATCTAGTTTGTGGAGAACAGGCCTATCGTTGCATGCTAATGAAGAGTTGCATGGTGTCTGTTATTTAGCGTATCTAATTCCCATGATCAGAGAGATAGAATCCGCAGAAATAGCCTTGCTGTATCCTCCACTACACAGACACAGAAGGGAAATTACTCCAGCTCAAGAAGTATCCAGCCTCCTTTTTCCTTGGTATGATATGTATACATCCCAGCAGGAACTTAAGTCTCTATCTAAAGTCTTAGAGAGGCATCTTAATGTCTCATGTAGAGCTGAATTGGCTGAAAATAAAGAGTTGCAGGAAGTCAAAATAGTGGCCTTACAGAACCGCATGGCACTTGATCTCCTGTTGGCAGCGCCAGGGGGAACCTGTAAACTTATAGTTACTGAATGTTGCTCCTACATCTCTGACGCAACAGCTGAAGTCCTAGACATGGCACATGACACAGCAGGAGGCATCAAAGAATTACATGATAATCATTGTTTCACTTTTGGGAACTTTTCAGGTGTCTTTGGGTGATGGGGGTCTGGGCTGGTCAAATTCTTAACTACCCTTGTTGTCACACTTCTCCTGCTCATCCTCTTCTGTTCATGTTTGGTTTCAATAATCAAGATGATACTTAATCTTGCACCTGTCTCGAGTAGAGTAGTTAGCGCAGGGTCTTTTTGTTTCACTTTTAGTTGAATAAGTGACATTTTTGGCCTCTGTCAGTAGTTGCATGTGATCTGTGACCTCCGTCATGAGCTCCTTTAATGCCTTGGTTTTTGAGGGGATCATCATAAAATAAAGGTTTGCTTTATAAATGCCCTTGTTGGCCAGAAGACGGAACTCATGGGCACATGTAAGAAGTGATAAGGGTGGTACAAAAAAGGGGTTTTCATTTACCTCACTGATTGTATGAATTGATCTTAACTGAATGACAAGTTCAAAGAATAATGTTTGTGAATTTGTGGTTTTTTTTTAAAAGTCATTCAAATGTTTTTGATTTGTTGTTTAATTGAGAAGGATTTTGTAATGCATGATGTTGGATCTGTTCTGAAGGGGCTCCGGGCAATCTGAAAATGTATTAATTAAGGGTAATGGTAATCAGGATTGATCTTATGATCAATGAGGCGATTGTTATGGAATTTTCATAGACACTGTCTCTTGTCCTCTCTGGGGCAGAGTGCAACAGGCTGTTGTGTTTGGGAAGTGCGAGAGCTTGACAAAGGTCAAAGGCTTCACTCCCTAGACATCACAGATATGAGACTGCGTAAGCACGCACTACTGTCTCCATAACTAGAAAATACATTTGATTGTTTAGGAACAAGCACACCCATAGATTAAATGATCTGTTGGGGTTTAAAGTGTGACTGCAGGAAAGCAGACTTCACAATATGAGAGAGCATCATGCACAGATGTTGTATGGATGAATTCTGATTTTCTCTTTGGCCAAGCTCAATAAATATTTCAGCATAAGACGTCAAAGGGTTCCTGAACGCTTTCTTCATTGATGAGTTGACCATTGGTCCGCAGATTTTCCACCACAGAGACAAAGAGAAAGTTAGTCATCATATTAAGTTAGTAAGATATTCATTACAGACACAGACAAAGTAGTCATCATATTAACTAATTAAGATATTTTTTAGAACAGGGGTCCCCAACGTTTTAGGGGGAGTTAGGTGGGGTTTTTTCTTACCTGGGTGGACGAGATAATCAGCTCCCTGGAAATATTGATCGGGTTGAGAAGTTTCTTCGGGGTAAAAAGCGGAGTGAAGCAAAAATGCTTCACGTGCAGGATCAAAATTCTGCAGACAAGAAATAGAGGAAAGATTGTTTAATATTTTTGAGAAGACCCCCTCGATGTAAAGAAAACTACAATTCATACAATTTAGATGAAATGAACTGGTGAAAACATCATTACTTAATCAATACTTGATTTTTATTGTGATGGATAACCAAATAAGTGAGAGTCTGAGAATGAAATTTACACATTGTGAGGATTGTCCTTATCCTGTGAAAAATGTCAAGTAAACTTGATGTGTGATTAAGGAATAAAGTATCCGTTGTGATCTAACTGGTGGATGTGATGCCACTTACCTGGGCAGGGTATCAAAGCTGTAGCACTGGGTGGTAGTTTGTGCCACCACAGACACAATTGCATTCCAACTCTGTCTCCTGAAAAACAATACAGAGATGATATGTT